GAATCGATTATTCCCAATAACTTGTATGAGATGAACGGATCCTGGAAGTGCAAGCCTAATATCTTGAAGGAATCGATGTACTGAGGAATACGACTCCTCAAAACTACCAAATACTGATTTAATGGCCTTCCGGCGGGCATCCCAAGACTTGATATAAGGGATCTTAATGTCAAATTTAGACTCCATCCGAGTGATGATCTCATGCAGCTTTAAGTCTATTTGTTGACGAAGAATAACAGTGATGTAGTAAGAGATGAACCTCGAGTTACAGTTGCGATGGCCTCCAGACATCTTATGATTTAAGCAATTATGTGGAAGACCACAGGATGAAACTTTCCATATTCCACCAAGTCATTTTCTCTTCGCAGCGTGCAGGTGACATAGGCAAGGATGTGATGGATTATCATGTTGTGCATATCTAATAGTTAGCCTTGTCTTATTAGATGTGTCTTTGATGTATTCTACATTTTTAATGATTGAACATCCATTGAGTACGCACTGGAAGGCCTCCTTACTTATGAAAGTCATGCGTTCGTATAATTAATCGGGAATAATCCCATACAATTCCCCAACAAAAGCAGTAGTTAGTGGATCAATATCATCCATGCTATCCCAGATCTGTGCAGATCGTAGAACTTCAACATAACTATTATTTTCCTCCAAGCCACCTAAGTTAGCTTGTTGACAAAATGCATAGTTAGCCTTGTCTTATTAGATGTGTCTTTGATGTATTCTACATTTTTAATGATTGAACATCCATTGAGTATGCACTGGAAGGCCTCCTTACATATGAAAGTCATGCCTTTGTATAATTGATCAGGAAAAATCCCATACAATTCCCCAACAAAAGCAGTAGTTGGTGGATCAATATCATCCGTGCTATCCCAGGTCTGTGCAGATCGTAGAACTTCAACATAACTATTATTTGCCTCCAATCCACCTAAGTTAGCTTGCTGACAAAATGCATGGTCACAAACCAAATCATACCGAGGCAATGATTCATCAAATTCTTCAGCAATTACATTTATGTCATCCCCTGCAGGCATTCCACTTGAGCTCTCACTACTTCCGCTATCCACCATCTCATATCTTCCAGTTATTGGTGTGCCTTCATCCTCATGTTCCTATTGAACAAGTTGACTTTGTTGGTGGAGGTGAAATGTCGGTGCACTAGCTAGACGCTCACTCATACTTAAGCGATGGACACTTAATGGTTAATTTTGTGTTAAACGTTTGTAAACACTAAAATGTCGAGGTTCATCTATAATAATAGGTACTGTAGTGAACCTATAACACATATTCAATATAACAGTGAAGCTTAAATTATAACATATTAATGTAAATAGAAAAAATTGAGTTTCAACAAATGAATGTTTGATATGTACCAACCTTTATACGTGGGAAGATAGTATCGGTTCTTGATAATAAGAACGGTGGTGATAAGTTGGGCTTATGCCTCGCTTATGAACTTGTTCAAATTGAACATATAGAATTAAAATCCTCCTTCGAGCTTCATTAAGTACGAACTCACATATTTCATCATCCGTCACTTGAATTGTTGTATATCCTCCATTATTAGGAAGACGACATACAAGGTAGACCCGGCATGTTTCATTATCATGGCATAATACTTGAATAATTCTATCATGTAACTCTTGAACTGTAACATTCACATTTATTTCAATCAGACGATTCCTTCCACCAGTATACGAAGGGATAAAATCCTTCGTAATGTTTAGATAACCATCATAATACATAATGAAATGAAACATTATTAAGATTGATGTTGAAAGTGGTAGGCCCTACACAAGACATCAAACGATTCAATAGGTCATCTTCTTGACTATTTTCTTTAAATCACCTTGTCAAAATTATATTTGTAATCAAAGAAAAAGTACTAGAAAAAAATTATAGTGGTCAGGAAGATTCAAATTAAAAAGCTATCAATAGTAACCAATTTTATGATTTATCGCTCATAATTCAAAAAAAAAAAAAAATGATAGAACGGATAAGATTTCATCTTTCTATCTATTTGCACTCGTCCATTTCATCAGTAAATCCATCCACTGAGCAACATACAACTTGGGATATGTTTATTTACACTCGTTTTATTGCCTTCATTTACCTTCAGGCATTCATTAGTCTAAGAGACACACTTGCTCAATATAAAAATAAAATTTCTCTTTCATAATTTTTGTTTGATTTATATAACACACTTATTCAATTGTATCTAATATATTTAATTAAGATATATATTTTCATTAATATTTTTATTAAATTTCTATGATCTCTTTTTAACTAATTAATTAACATCAACACAAAATAAGTTTAAAGGGATTCTCTGTATCATTTCATAACTTTACATAAAATAAAATTCATCACTGTTTTTTTTGTAGGATGGGAATAATTTTCTTGGTTTATGGTTTAATATTTTTAATAAGATATGAATTTAAATCTAAAATTCTACTTTTATTATTTTGATAATATCTTCTAAGACGTCTTGAAATAGGTTCAAATATTAAGAAAAATATACTAATAGGTTCAAATATTAAGAAAAATTTACGTCTTCACACTGCCAAAAAACAAGCCCTTTCGTAGCGGTTCTTTGCACCGGTTTTAAAAACCGCTGCGAAAACCACGTTTGCATCAGAAATTTGAATCTAGTTGCAGCGGTTAAAACCGGTGCAAATTGCACCGGTTAAAACTGCCGGCAAAGCTCATACGTGAATTTAAGTGAGCCGAAGCCCTAATTCCTCTCTTCGATCTTGCTCGCGTGAACGGGACTATAGGAGCGAATCCGGATAGCTGCGGCAAAAATCTTCTCCTCTTGCGAATCCCGGCCGACCGAGCCTTCGATCCTCATCACTGTGAGTCTCTTCCGCTTCATCCTCTTCTTCTCTTTTTCTTCTCATTCTTTTTCTTCATTTTCTACTTTTGCATTCCTTAAGGTTTAGGTTAATCACAACCGTAGCTTACTCGTTGGTTTTTAAAATGAAATGCAAAGCCTCCTTATACATTTAGGTTGCAATCGTTTTATAAAAAATAAATATATAATAGCATAACGAATTTTGCTCCACCAGTCGGCCTATCATGTTTCCTTCGCCTTGAGCCACATACGATACCAAATAAAAAAATCCCATAACTTAGAGTGGCCCTTCAGTTTGCCAGAAATGCATAGCTGTTGATGTCGATAATTTCAGAGGAATAGAATAGTTTAAGTGTGTTTCATTCAAGAACTGTACACTGATAGGATTAAGTCTTGAGGTTTGTCTGTAATTTAGAGATAATTTGGTCACAGATGATCTCCAGGACAATGCAACAAGACTCATGATTCTAACTTAATTACCTAACATTACTATCATATAAGTTGTATTTGCTTTCATGTAAACAAAATCTATCAAACTGGTATACTTGTCTTAATTTTTGTGTTTATCTTTCAACGTTAATGTGATTATAAGTTGTACAATACATTTACACAAAAATAGTCTTTATCTTATGTACATTGAGACAATTTTTTTTACTATTCATTTGATGGATGCATTTTTATCATTTCCTATCAAAACAATAAACCCCAGTATTCAAATTTTATACTAAAAAATATTTTAGAAAACAATAAAAAGATGTTTAGTCTAATGAAGTTTAATAATTAAAAAATGGTTAGTGAATCAAAAATTAAAATGGTTGGGAAAGTTTTTGTGAGAATGCATGGTTGGGAAAGTTTTTGTTTATCTAAAAAAAGGAGAATGTTGATGGGTAGTTTGTGTGAGATTCTCATTAAAATCTGAGAGATTCTTGTTAGACTTGACTGTTTAAGCCTTGTCGATACTTGGGTTTCATGATAATTACAAAAACAAGAAAAATCTAATGTTTATAAGTGCCTTGAACCTCCATAGCTTTATTGGTTGTAAAGCTTCATACAAAGTAATAGACATGAGAAATCCTATGATATTTGGGTGGAGCTTTCATTGCTTATTTGTGAAATTTCCTACAGCTTTTGTGGAACTTTTCTCATTGCTTTTGAGGGAAATAGGTGCAGATTTTTAAGGTTTTCTCACTGTTTTTACATGAGAATCCTTACCGCATTCGAATGGATCTTGCATTGCTTCTTGGTAGGGAATTCCTACATTTTTTTATAAACTGTTCTCACTATTTTTGGATGAAACGAGTGCAGATTTTTGCTGTTTTTTTTTTGCTTCCAAATTGTGTTGGGGGCAAGGTATTAGCAGATTTTTGCTATTTCAAGGTCCCAAACTATTTTGGTAACATAATGTGTGCCGTTTTTTCACGGTTTTAACTTCTAGATTGCTGTTGGAAACAAGTACATGCAGTTTTTCATTGGTTTTGAGGTTCCGAACTGTTTTGGTAACATGTTATATGCAGCTTTGTAAAGTACAAGTCGTTCGCAATTGATTGGCACTACAAATATATTAGAATCTTAGCAATTTTTTTCATGTAGGGTAGAATTATAATGGTGATATTTCATTTTATAATGTTGTTGATGGTTATATGAGCTTTGTATAACTTTATTCTCACTGGCTGTTGCAAGATATCTATCCAAATGAGTTTGGAACCGCATTTGAGTGGTGCCACCCTTTATATGTACTGTATGAAGACATTTTTGTGTATGCTTTGCTGTCAAGTTCATTGGATTTGATAAGCCTACGGCAGGTAACTTACAGAACGTTATTATTTTGTTGTTTGAAAGTGCTTAATTTTCCTAAAACAACATGTGATCATATTCTAACCTTAGAGAAAACTGGAATTTTTGTTAACTTATTAACATCTAATGCTAATAAAATTGGAATTCTAGCAGATTTAGTTTATTTTCTTCACCTTAATTTTTTGTTAACTTATTAACATCTTGATTTCTAGGTTGTATTATTATGGCAGGAGGTAGCCGTTTCAGACAAGCAAAGAAGGCAGTTTGCAGAGGTGGATCAAGTAGAGGAGGATCAAGTAGAGGTGAAAGCAGTAGGGAGACTGAATAATTCACACCTACTCCAGTACACCCAGATTCACAAGAAGAGATTGAGTGTAGTGGGACACAACAGGCTTCACGACATTCATTTTGTGGTGCAGCTCCAGCCCCACAAGAGGGGGTATGGCTCATAGGTATGATTTTCTTTTTATGACATTTATTTTATTTTAAATTAATTATGTTGATGAGCAAGGACCTATCATGCTTATTCATGCTTATTAATTTATTTTGAATTATGTAGATGAGCAAGGAAATCCTTTAAGGCGTAGGGGGAGAACAACATGTGCTGATATACAGAATATGCCGCCAGGGACACGAATTCATATAGAAGTAAATGAAAATAACATCCCTTGTAACATACCTGAGTCGATTTTGCTAGGAACATATCTAGGTATTGTTGCAAGAGACCCTGTTTTGGCTCCAATATCATTCCCTGATTGGAGAAATAAGGGTATGGAGCCATATAAGAAAAAGATGTTAGCTGAAGTTGAGGTATATTTATTTCATAGCAAATTTGAATTTTTTATGTTTTATATTATTAACTATATCATATTTGTAACTGCAGTCTAAATTTGAGTTTACTGGTCATATACGCCATTGGATTCTTCAATCCCTTGGTGTTAAATGGCGTAATTATAAAACCACCTTAAAGGCTGAGCATTGGGATAGTAGACAAATTGAGGAAATTTTAGAGACAGTTCTAGCTGGAGTAGATTAGTTGCAATGGTGTCATCTTGTTAACAAATGGTCAAAGTCGGAGGACCAGGTAAATATTGTGATTAAGTTTTTTTTTTTACATATTTATTACTATTTTAAAATTTGGAATGTAACATTATCATGTATCATAGGAAAGGGCTGCAAAAAATTCTACCTATTTTTTGGTAGTGTTAAATAGGTTCAATATTAATAAATATATTATAACTTATTTTAAATTTATTTTTAAAATAAATGTATAAAAATTTCTATATTATATATATATATATATACTTTTAATTTAGTTTAAAGTTTCTATGTAATTTTTTTTTTTCTTTTTATTTTTTATATGTTGTTTTTTTTTTTATTTTATATTATTTTGATAAAGTTTCTATTTTATATATTTTTAAAACAAATGTAAACATTTAATCCAAAATTTTCATAAAGTTAAATATATCATAAAATAAGATTTTATAACTATTAAATTATTTTAAATATTTAATAATTCATTTGAAATTATTATAACTATTTTATTTATTTAAGACATAATTTTAAGTTAACTTAAAAATAAATATAATTTTAAAAAATTTATTAATCTTAATTATTAATATTTTAAATTTATAAATTATAACTATTAAAACACAAATTCACTCTCTCTCATTTGAGAGTGCAAATTAGAGAGAGATCGATAGAAGAAATAGAGAGAGAGCGTAGTTATAGATAGCCAATTTATATATATTTGTTTTTAAAAATAAGTTATAAATATATTTATTTTATATTAAAATTTATAAATGTAAATATTTAAATAATTTTTATTAAAATTTATTTTATTTTCGTTTTTTTTTTATTTATAAATATGAAAAATTGTTTTAATATAAAAATTTGTTTTTAGTATTTAAATTGTAATAATTTAAATAAGAGAATAAAAGAATTTTATTTCAATAAAATTATTTCTTATATTTAAATAAAATTATTTATTAAATGTATTAAGAATGAAACAGTTTTTTAAAAGAAATTAATACTAATTTGATCCTTTTTAAATTTAATTTTTTCTTATAAATCGTACATCAAATATGTAAAAATTTGACCATTTCTTTATTATCTTTAACAATAACTTTCTCTTCCACTAATCCAATAGCATTGTTCACTAAAGAAATTAATACTAAAATGATTTGATCTCTAAAATTTATGGCCAGATATAAGACTTTTTTGTCACAACTATCAACTAAATCATGAACAAATATTTCTAAAAAATTTAAATCAAATACAATATTAACAGATCTCATGTATCGTAAACATCTACAAATTTTTTAGAGGAAATAAATTCATTCTTTTGATTATGATTATTACAAAAAATAACAAAAATAATAAATTTAACAACGTAACATTAAAATAAAAATAATTTACAAGAAAAGAAAACTAACCTTAGAATCTTTATACGCTCCTTCAAAAAATGTATGAATTTTTCTAGCACCGAAAACCTTCCAAATCTTCCAAATTTATAGAGTTCGGGGTCTGTTAATTGTGACAAAAGTGATAAGAAAGACAAGCGAATTTTACGGGAGCAAAATTTAGTGGATCACGGGCACACAAACATTGATTTTGGCTTGCAAATGGAGGACATAATGGTGAGCCCCGCGTGGAAATTGAGGAGATAAATCCAAGCATCATTCATGGGCAGAAGCTAATTTTATGGGATTCAGGGAATAAATAATTTAATATAGAAACCGGAATGCAAAAATTTGATTTCTTCACTAATACCGCAAACCCCTTCTAATACGTGTTTAATCAGGTTCAAGCAGGGTAAAATGGGATTAATATAAGGAATTCGGATTTTGATAATCCGGTTTCTATAGAAACCAGATAAATAATCTCTGGTTTATATAAGAAATCGGATTTCCACCCTCCATTTTAGCTTCTTTTTATTTTTTTTTTATTTACGCTCTTTATGCATATTTACCCATTAAACGTGCTCCTTTTTATAATTTGGCCTTTATTATAGCAACTTTTCTTAATAAATGCTAAATTGCTCAATAATTAGTTTACTACAAATAATATTTTTATCTTATTTTTTTTAAACCATAAAAATGATTCTTATGCAATGTAATATTTTTAATGTAAAGTAATACTCAAATAAAATTATAATTATTATTTAAAATTATAACAGCCAGAAAGATTCTCAAACAAACTTTAAATTAGCACAACACAATTTGAATTTCTAGATAGATTTAAAAAACATTTTGTTATTCATAGTTGGAATTAGGAGCGTAAATGAGTCAACACGAGTTCAAGTCATCCCAAGCATAATTTTGAGCTTTCTTCAATGAGTGAGCTTGCTCATGAGCTAGCTCATTTATTATGAAAGAGAGAAAACGATTATGATATGAACAATTATTATAATAAAATGGTAAAAGAATATTAAATTTTTTACATATAATGAAATGAATATAATATTTAAACATTTTGAATAATTTTGTTCCTAAAATTTTGAATAATAATATATTTTAAGTATATTTTATATTAATATTTTTTTTCAACGAGTCAACTTGCGAGCTAACGCGTCTAGTTGTGGCTGGCTCAAGCTTGGCTAGTTATTTTCAAGCTCGAGCTTACTCACGAGTCGGCTTGACTCACTTACACCTCTGGTTGGAATCCTTTTTCTCAAGAGGTTGGTTTTTTTGTATGGTATTACTATTTCAAATGCATAATTACTATTATTGATTAGAAAATTATTGAAGGTTTGGATTTCAAAACAATTGCAAAGAGTTGGGCTGATCAATAAAGTCGCTTTAGGTAAATCATCAACCATTAGTTTTAGAAACAAATAAAAATATATTGTAGTCCAAGAGTATAAACAATTCAAATGAAATTAGAGCAATATAAAAGATCTCTTTCAGAGTGTCTTACACCTATGATATGTAATAATTCGTTTTTTTTAAATGAAAAATATGAATTCCAGTATTGCGCCTTATCAAAGAAGACAAAAAATATTGTTATATTATTTTTCATTTTTCAATTTTATTTAGACATTTCTTCTATTTGTTGTAAGTAACTCAAATCTCATTTTAATTTTCAGTAATTGTGATTATTATATAGATTTTCTTATATTGAGCAAAATTGATTATTTCCTATTGTATTTTGATTGTGACATTTGTATAAGCAAGAAAGGCTGGTTGAAAACAAATGACCAATTATGCCACCAGCTAGAGAGTGAAAACTATTTATTGATTTAATGAAGCCACATGCATGCTAATTGATTAATTGAATATGATAATTGATTAATTGAATAAATGATAATTGATATGATTGATGACCAACTTAGAATCAATTGAGATAAAATATATTGAAAACACCACGTTAAGGTTGAATGTCCTGCCTTGCTAAATCATAAATTTATGCATGCATATATTAGTAGCACTGATGACATTAATAGATATATTAATACCATTGACAATATTGGATACATTGTTAATACATAAATAAATGATGCATATGAATAGATATGATAAATTCTTTTAGTGATTTATGAATAACTTTTGCATCATTGTTTTATCGATTTATTGAACTTTATACCAACTATTTATTTTTATATTTATTGTAATGATTGCTTTTATTATTGATCATTTTAAGTTTTATTGATAATATTTAGTCATTAACTAAATTGATTATTATTAATTATATTAGATTAAACATATCATATTGATTGTTTAGTCATTGAATTAAAACCTTTAGTGTGTTTTGGATTACTACTAAGCTTTTGAGATCATTCTATAGATTTTTAATGATTTCATGATAGGAAAGGGGTCAGAACAAATTGGAGTGAGATTGTTAAATATCATCAATTTTTTTTTTAAATTTTATGATGTATTTTCATTTATTCTTTTGTAGTCAATCGCTTGTGATATATTAGTGATAGAGTGGTTTGTTGGTTTGTGTAAATGACCTTTTAAGTGAATAAATAATAAAATATCTTAATGTATATGATTATTATTTTTTTGATGATTTATAGAAGCTCTCATATATTATTAGAATGATAAATAGTCAATTCTTTCAAATTTGATTCTAGGGAATTTCAAGATATAATTTTGCTCAAACATTTTATAATAATTTTAAGTACTTTCCATCATCATGTGATGGATTTTGATTTTGTTTAACACATTTATAAATTAATATCATAGATATTTTATTCGAACCAAACATACCCTTGAATAGTCTATATACATTATTTATGTAAGATTGTTCAACCTAAAGTGGTAATTGCTGAAAATCGAATGTGGTAAAAACTATATTATTTATGGTACTTTCACTAATCATAATATGTTCCCCATGCATGTTGATTCCATATAGCTTATCCAACCAATTTTTTTTTTTTGGATTAAATGATCATTGGGAACTTTTATTGAATAAAAAATATCTATTATACATGATCTATATACATATAAGACAAAGAAATATTATATATATATATATATTGAAAAGAGCAATAAATGCATTACTTAGCAAAATAAAGAAACAAACTACAAAGTATATTCCTCCTTCAACAACCTAACAAAAGAAGGAGGAATCTTATTCAAATTCAAATCCTCTGAAATAAAACTACTAACAAGAGCAAGACTAGCACACATATCGACTAGTTTGTTACCCCCTCTCTCTATGTATTTGAAGATTACATAGTTAAAATCTTTAAAGAATTATAATCCTTCCATCTCCATGAAACTTTCAAGCATAGCATGTTGAAGAGTCCTTATTGCATTTGAATTATCACCTTCAATGATTGCTCCCTTATATTTGAACATCCACTCTTTAATAACTTCTTTCAAAGACTTGATAGCTAGAAGCTCTAATTGAGCAATATCCCAGTGAATGCAAGATTTGCCGAAAGCTAACAGAAACCTTCCTTTGCAGTCTCGGATTACACCTCCAATGCCTGCTATGTATGAAGAACCAAGAGAATCATCTACATTGATCTTTAACCAATTGGGTGGAGGGTGATGCCAAATGTTTGACAGACTAAAAGACTGATTA